CTTTTAGCATTTTCACTACAGTGTGTAAGATATCTTACACACTGTAGTGAAAATGCTAAAAGTGAGCTAGTTTATCTCTTTTTAAAGGGACAGTTAGAAAGAGACAAAGTCGTTCACTTTTAGCATTTTCACTATATTGCAAGATACAGAATTAACCCCTAGTGAGTCACTTTTGTATCTTACACTGTAGCGAAGATGCTAAAAGTTAATAACTTTGTCTCTTTCTAACCGTCCCTTTACAAAGAGATAAAGTCGCTCACTTTTAGCATCTTCGCTACAGCGCAACATACAGAAATGGCCCTTTTGATTAACTACTCGGCGATTGAGTCATCGAGCGACGCTCGCGTCACTTTGTTCACGCGTGATTTGATTTCTTGTCGCTCGGAGAGGGCGACCGGGTCCAGGGTGAAGAATTGCAGAAATGCCCTCGATTCTATCGATCGAATCGGTCGTCGGAATCGTAAAACAATTACAATAATCCCTCCGCTCCGGGCCCCGGCGCGCGACGCGCGCGCCCCCGCCACGCACGGCACTGGCGCGCGCACCGTCATCGACCGCGGCGGGGCGGCGGGAAACGGCGAAGGGGCCTGAAGATGACCGCATTCGTCGCTCGCGCGCGAGATAGCGAGAGCGAGGCTGGCGGCGCGACGGTGCGAGCGAACGGCACCAGCCAACCGTCAGTGCGCGCGGATCGGTCGCGCGCGGTGGCAGCACACGTGGGCGGTTGACAAGTGCGGGCTATTACGATCGCGAGCGACGCGCGCGCGTGCCGTATTCGTGCCCGGTGCCGCGCGGTGCAGTGCGAACGAGCGAGACGCGAGACAGGCGAGACGGAGATGGCGAGCCACGACGTCGGCATCGGCGACTTCGTGTTGCTGGACGAAATCACGGCGGAGCGCGTGGTGGAGAATCTCAAGACGAGGTGCGTACCGTTCGCGCTCCACCCACCGGGTGGTGTTCGTGCCGGGCGACCCGGCGCCCCGCAACCCGCCGAAACGCGCGGACGCGATCCATGACAGGTGGACGGCGGGGAGCGCCCCCCCCCCCTGCCGCGCGATCGACGCTCGGTTCGCCGCTGCGCCCGCGAGAGGGCGTGGCCTGCGAGCGCGTCGCCAGGTGGTCTGGAGAGACGCAGGGGTTTAACATACGTTCACCTTCCCGCGCGGCCTCCCAACTTGGAGCCGAACGGGGCACCGTGTTGACCGGAGTAATTTTAGACGGCGCGCACACTTTCGGCGATTTTGCACTTCTCTTCACGAGAAGCGGAAGTTGCAGGCTCGGGGGGTCAATTCGGTAGCTTGCAATGTAGCGTAGACGCTGAAAGTGAGCGGCATTGCCTCTTTCTAAGGGGTTAGAAAGCTAAAAGCGAGTAGCCTCGTCTCTTTCTAATTGTCCCCTTAGAAAGTGACAGAGCCGCTCACTTTTAGCATTTTCACGTGTTGCAAGATACACACATGCACACAATTGACCCCCCCAGGAGGTCAATTCTGGGAGTCAATTCTGTATCTTACACCACAGTGAAAACGTTAAAAGTAAATATCTTCGTCCCTTTCCAACAGTCCCTTTGGAAAGAGACAGCCGCTCACTTTTGCCATTTTCACTATGTTGTAAGATACAGAATTGACCCCCTGTGTCTTACACTATAGTGACAATGCTAAAAGTAAGTAGCTCTGTCTCTTTCCGACTGTCCCCTTAGAAAGAGACAGAGCCGCTCACTTTCGCCATTTTCACTATGTTGTAAGATACAGAATTGACCCCCTGTGTCTTACACTATAGTGGCAATGCTAAAAGTAAGTAGCTCTGTCTCTTTCCGACTGTCCCCTTAGAAAGAGACAGAGCCGCTCACTTTTGCCATTTTCACTATGTTGTAAGATACAGACTTGACCCCCTGTGTCTTACACTATAGTGGCAATGCTAAAAGTAAGTAGCTCTGTCTCTTTCCGACTGTCCCCTTAGTAGGAGACAGAGCCGCTCACTTTTAGCATTTTGACTATTTGACTGGCCTACAAAATTAATTGCAAAAATTGTGAGGCTTCGTATATTGGTCAAACCAAACGACACCTAACTACACGTATCGAAGAACACGAGAGCAACATTAAAAAGCGCCATTGCAATCACTGAAATTTTATTTATATCAATACTGGCAAACTGATGAAATATATGTATAATTTTGACTATGTTGCGAGATACAGTAATTGACCCTCCAGGAGGTCATTTCCGGGGGTCAATTCTGTATCTTACACTATAGTGAAAATGTTAAAAGTGAGTAGCTCTGTCTCTTTCCAATTGTCCCCTTAGAAAGAGACAGCCGCTCACTCTTAGGGCCATCGCACACAAAATTGCATAGCTGCATGTGCATAGCATGAAAATCGTTTGAACCAATGAACATCGAACATTGAGTCGCCATATTGATTTACATAACGCGCTCATTGTTCTTGTGCTATGCATATGCAACTATGCAATTTTGTGTGCGATGGCCCTTAGCATTTCCACTACGCTGTAAGATACTGAATTGACCCCCCGGGAGTAGATTCCGATCGGAATTATTCTGTTCTCCCTCGATAGAAATCTCGGAAATGACTCAACAATTCCAATCGGAATCTATTTTGAAAATTTCCACGATAACCCGGGGGTCAATTCTGTATCTCGCAACATAGTAAAAGTGCTAAAAGTGAGCGGCTTTGTCTCTTTCTAAGGGGACAGTTAGAAAGAGAGCTACTCACTTTTAGCATTTTCACTACAGAATTGACCTAATGGTTAATGTTAGATGTATTATTAGCGAAAGTGAAGTTGCGCGCGCGAGGCGAGACTTCGTGTAGCGATAAAAGAGCAGAGCGAAATAACGTATATGTTGCGCTCTTCCGTTTCTCTCTGCCTCTCCTCCTTTCTTGCCTTTCACGTGCTTCGAATGTTATAAGCTCCTGGTGTATCTTGAACTTGACCCGCTGGCGACGTCCGGGGAGACGTCCGAGGTTGTTTCCACCGGACAGCCTTGGCCGGTTAATTTCTGGCAGACGATAGCCCGCGTTTTTGCGAGGCTCGGCCGCCGCAAGGCCCCTCTTTATCGTCGCGGCTGAAGACGAGGAAAACGTGTGGTTTAGCGGACGCGAAATCATTCCTGCAGCTTCGCATACACGGGCCATTTGACACGTTTTCCCGAAATGAAGCACAAATGGTAGAGTTAAATTTCAGTTCGTAAAATAATTCTTTTTTTTCGTAGATCTTTGAAGTAACTTCGGGTGATTTTAGAAAAATTTGAAGCGCTGCGGTCAAGGACTTATTTCGCATGAATACTGCTTGTCCTTCGCGAGAAATACTTGACCGCGGCACTTGAAGTTTATTCATTCTTCAGAAATCACGTGCGGATATGTCAGTTTAAAGATCTATAAAAAATGAACCACGAGAAGATCATTAATACACGAAACGATGCTTGCTTACACGTCGGTATTTTGGAAGTTGCGTCTGTTTGTGGAATAAAGAGGGAACTGTATGAACGTAGGTCGTCTGGTTTTTAATTTTCGAAATGAAAAATAAATTGGAGGAGATTAAAAAAGAAAAACCGGGCCTTTTCGATGCGACCTGATGTTCGCTGGAATCCGATGGTTTTTTACATCAGGTACTTTGTTCGTATTTTCTCTTATAAATGACTTTTTGACATGACTCCCCATGTATATATAAATTTACCTAGTCTTTTACAGCAAATAATAGATTGGTGGGAGAATAAAACATACAGTTTTCGACGTGTCTTCGAAACATCGTCGATCATCGAAATCAGATTCATCGGGAGGACACATTTTGCAATCGGAGCGACACAATTGCGATGTACACGCGCATATCGTGAGGCTAAATCTCGGAAGTGTAATTCACTCCTCGCCGTCTTTTCCACATTTTCCCGCGATCTCGTGTTTCGTACTTTCGTTCTCACATGACGATTCTCCAGCGACAAGCAGGACGGCTGCGCCGACACTAATTATAACTTAACTGAACGTTACTTTTCCGCGTGTATTACAAGCTGCAGCCTAGAAATAGACGGCGAAATAACCGAGTGCAGCGGACCACGGGTTGCTGCAGTTGGATTCTAAATGATAGCGATAAGATACGATCGGTTGTTAATCGACGTTAACCACAGCTAATTCGTCTTCCTCGTGTCTTCGCGGGCGGAGCTGCGATGTATCGAATTAAAAACGGCGATTAGCAAATTAACTGGGCTAACCGGAACCACGTTGCTATACAATGCTTAGGCCCGGTTTTTCATTTTCTGATTAAATGTTAGCCAGAGGTTAGTCGACAACCTGCTCTCTTCTTAGATAATAGAAAAAGATGGAGAGTCGACTAACTTCTGGTCAACAGTTAACCAGGAAATGAATAACCGGGCCTTATCGTATCATATCGTGTAGACAGTCATAGGGCGGTATTCACAGTCAGATCTTATATTTAAAATCGTCCTAAGTTCCCTAGATACTCCGTAGCCAATGAAATGTTTCACGCAGCACTTTAAGGCCGTAGAAATATTTAATATTGAGGAGCACATTCGGCTAATAACATGTTAAATCCCAAAAATATCTAGAAACTATACTCCGATCATAATCCAGCTGCGGCTCCACAAGCGTTTGTTTTATTTAATTTTGTAGAAAAATTGCTAAACGACTCTAACTGGCAAATTCTAATTAATATTTTTGCAATAAATTTCTTTGATTAGAATTTGCCAGTTAGCGTCGTTTAGCAACTTTTCTACATTGGTCAATCATGTATTGGCGTCAAATAATTCTCCACTTTATTTAATTTTGTTATTCAATTATAAGAGCCACGTGAAAAAGTTAATTATTTTATTAAGCTATAATCGTTAGTTATTATACTATTCAATATGCTTCTTCGGACTTTCATTGTATTCTGTAATTTCCAAGTCGAATCGTTTCCAACGCGGACAACATTTTCTCTTATTTACCTGAAAATCTTGTAATGGGACAACACGATTTGTTACTCAGTCAGAGAGATAAGCGTAATTCGAGATAAAACGTATACGTTCTCGCGTTGCAACTATGCTGCAGAAGTCGGCAGTTTGGGACTTCACAGTTGTAAAACTTGTAGAAGTTAAGAAAAAAACGTTTTGTAAAATTAATTATTAATAACATGAATTTAAATTAAAACGTATAGTATTAAATTACAATGTACGGTAAAATTTCAAAAAACTCTTGGAAAATTTTCTTCGAAACGCCACGTTGTCCCACGACTACATGGTTTTCGGATAAATTTTAAGAGAAAATTCTCCCCGTGAAGGATACAGTCGATCGTGATTTCATGAACGGGATTCTTATACTCTGTTTCGCGAATACCAAATTATCCGGAATGATTTCCAAAGACGGGCGAGTCACGGAAGAAAATCGTCGCTCCGTGTCTCGCAAAAAGGGACACGTCAGGGAAGCTACTCCGATTCACTTGGCGGTTTCGTCTGTGTCGCGGGGAGCACGGAATTGAATATCACACTGCGAGCAACTGTGACGGAAGCGACGACATTATACCTGTTGCGCGGTTACGCGCGGGTGTATCGTTTCGCGGATAAAGGCTCACGCAATTGCGCGCTGCAGTTGCGTACATTCGCCGCGAAATCGCACACGCACAGAGAGACCCGGAGAGACAAGTAGCGTAATTCGAGATAAAGCGTACGTTCTCGCTGCAACTATGCTGCGAAAGTCGGCAGTTTAGGACTTTACAATTGTAAAAGTTGTAGAGATTAAAAAAAAATGCTTTATAAAGTTAATTATTAATAATATAATATTTTATTAAATAAAAACGACAGGCGAACGTTCGAATTGGTCAAACAGAATCTGTAGAGCTTTTTAATATAATATAAGAAAAATACCGAGACACCAAAGGTCCGTGCGATGTCTGCGATATTTGATAATTGATCTCGAGTATCTGTTCGATGTTCGTGTAAATGTCGCTGGGGGATGGAAGTTGCATATGTTTTCCCCCGTAAAGTACCTACGCTGGATAGAGATTTGATGTAATTCGCCGAAGGTCAATTCTATATAATGCGTGACGCATATCGTTCTTGGAAGGCGTACATTCATGAGTGAAAATGGATTTACGCGCTCTGATTCATCGCGCACTGGGATCTCTACTGATATTACGTGAAATCTTGAATAATCTACACGTTAGATTGACTCGGAAAGCACGGAGGCAGCGTGTTTAATTAGGCAGAAATATCTAATTGGATATGTGCTCAAATTATATCGGAATCTATCGCTTAGACGAACATGTCTCGTTGGATAGATGTGGTTTACATAAATCCAGTAATTATTTGAAACCAGCCAAACATCAAGAATATGTAACATCAAATATCTCATTTTTTAAAATAATATATAATATAAAATATCTAAATACTTTTCGCGATAAATTAAAAACAAGAGTTATTTAGACACCAACATCCTGTCACGGCTCTTTAGCTTCTTTTCTTCGAATTTGTGTTTATCACGCGAGAGCCTTACGAATTTTTTTGATTTTATAAAATATCTAATTTAAAATAATAGAATTAAAGTCGCAAAATAGACGCGTGGACAACGTCTTTATACTGTTATTGCGACAAATATTATCATATGCTTCGGTGGTCGAATTGGTGAGACGCCCGCTTAGAGTGTAGGGAGGTGCAGGTTCAAAATTTTTCGCAATAAATTTTCTGCATTGACAGAGAAATTAGCAAATGTGGCCAGCTGTGGTCGAATAAAATTTGGAATTTTGGTATTGTACTGGCAATTTGAAGAAACTAATCTTAAAAAAAATAGAGATCGAAAACTTCGATTACGGTTCGAAAGAGATCCGATTCGTATTAAATCTGCAAAGAGAATATTAATCCCTAAGAGTGAACGAGACTTTGCTTTTCAAATTGTTACAATGCGAGTAAACTACTAACAATAAACATCGGCCTGCTTATCGTGACCTTATCGAGTAATCTGCTTGAGTAGTATTTTCCGGCGAAACCGTCGTATCAGCTTTATTTCGTGCAATTGTAGACCAAGCTCGTATCTTTCCGAACGATACCGAACTGCGACACCTCGTATCGTACTGACTCCACTGGATTTCGAACGGGTTCGCGCGCTATTTCTTTTCCTCCGACAAATCCGTGGACACTTACCCCGCCCGCCGTTCTAAAATGTTGCTAAACTGCAACTTTCACGAGAAAGAAGCGAGAAGAAACGTACCGGGAAAACGCACGTCAGGTTCTTGCCTTTATATTCAACGTTAAGCGTGACCGTTTGAATCGTACTCGTGATAAAATATTCTTCTCTTTTTTTCCCCTCAGAAGCAGCATCTATGAAATTATTTTTAATGTAAAACGCGTCTATTTTCTCCTGGTAGTTTTAACGGTTTCACCGAGAGAAAGATCTGCAGAATTGGAGGTCTCTCGAATGATTGTATACGCGATACCAAATAATTGGTAGTCGCGATACAATGCAGAAGGGATGCGGAACAATTAAAGAAAGAGCCTCGGCGCGTCTCTTTAACATTCGCCTCTACTCGCAGGTGGGGCATAATGCTCGTAATGACGTCACGATGACGTCACCTCGATGTTATGCACGACAATGAAAATTATATTGACATACTTTAAAGAGACTCGTTTACCTGAATTTAAAGTAGCACATTTAAAGCTTCTATACGTTATTTTGAAAAATAATATAAAGTAATAGATTTCATGGTTTATTCTATAATACAGTCTCATTGATTTTTGATACCATTATTTCTATCTTTTAGTTCTAAAAAAATCTAGACAAATCTACACTGTTTATTGCGGTAAATATTACCACGCATCTCACAATCAGTGGTCGAATTGGTGAGACGCTCGCCTAGTGGGGAGGTCCAGGTTCAAACCCTGGCTGAGGTAATATTTTTCCCAATAAATAAAAAGTAACATTATTTAGACACTAGCATCCTGTCATGGCCCTATGTATTTGTGTTCATTAGATACTACAAAATTTTATTAATCGTTAAAATTACGCGGACTTAATATGCGTTTCTGAATTCCATTAGGCCGAGTGGGCGGTTAATAATACACCCACAGAAAACATTGCCGGATCCAATGCTATTACACTTGAATGTATCGTAAAATAGGATCGATGTAGCGCCAATCATATTTATTATAGAGAAAGGAATATTGTGATATCTTAAAAATTCTAAAATCTAGAATAAACTGATAGTATGCATCGTCTTTTGTCGAATATCGTGTTGCCAACTTCGTGCGTTGTAAGATGGAGGGAGAATTTATTCTAAACGCAAGAATATTAGTAAATCAATCTTCTGTAATTCGATAAAGGAAAATGAGAATTATTGATTTTGTTTTGTATATTGTCTTATTTTTATACTAAATGAGGTTGTGAGAAATACAAATGCGTCAAGAATACTTTCTGTTTCGGTAACAGAAAGTCCTTTCTGAGGGTGTAGGGATACATAGTCGTTCCGTGCCGAAACCTTGTTCTGCCTAGGAATCAATTTAACATTTCGAACTGTAATTCCGAAACCCAGCTGGTTTCTGCTCCCTCAAATTAAGCGCCGCAATACGGACTGATTATCCGCGATTGACCTGGGACGAGATTTCACTCTTATCGATTTGTGTCGTCGTTTCGTACGACGACTCATGCCATCCGCGACGCCGCGGAGGAGGGCGCGAGGGCAGGCTCGTTTAGCGGTGAAACGCGCGACGGGAGAACGAGCGTATCCTCGAATACAGGCGAGCGTATATGCGGTCCGTGTAATCCTTATCGGGGGCTCGTGCCAACCGTGAGTCATCATCATCCTCGAGTCGTTGCATTCGGACTGCGCTCGCGTCATTTCCACAAGAGTCAGCCTCATCATGGTCAATGATACGAGCGATGATATAACAATTATTGCGAAGGGGAACAAGTGAGGCAAGGGTGGATGAAGAGATGGTCACGATCACAAAAATCTAGAATTGCTCTGCGTTAATTCAGATTTCCCTGCGGAATTGATTAGGGTATTAATAATTAATGCTTCACATACACCGAGAGAATTTTCTCTCAAAATTTACCCTGAAAATCGTGGGACTACATGGCAGTCTGAACAACTTTACGAGAGTTTTTTGAAAGTTTACCATACATTTTACTAGTAAAGTGTATACTTACGTATACTGGATTTTACTAGTAAAATACACTTTACTAGTAAAATAACTTAAGTATAATTACTATTGAAATGTATGGCAAACTTTCAACCAAAACTCGTATAAAGCTCTTTGAAATGCCATATTGTCCCACGATCACAATATTGTCACGACAAATTTTAAATAAAAATTCTTCCCGCGTAATTAATAATAAATAACGAAGGCCGATTGATTAGAATAACGCTCTTATCTGGATTTATAGTTCTCCAATTTGTCAGAATGCAGCGTTCCTTTTCAAATTGGGATTGGAAGAGACCATTAAGACGTTCAAATACGTTTTACACGTCTCGCCGCGTGTAGAAGAATAATTATTTACATTGGCGAGCGCGCAATTGTCGTCGAACTGAGGACAAGTGACTCATTATGCTTCGGTAATCTCGATGTCGATCTCTTGTACGGCCGATAGCACTTATCTTTCGTTTTCGTGGATATCGAATGTCTATAATCTTCACAGGACCGTGAAACTATTACGAACTAACGAACAATTCCTTAGGAAGCTAAGTACTTTAGAATTGTGCGGCCTGCGTACATAACTTTATGTACAAGACTGCTCGCCTCGGTTTCCTGAAGATTATTATCGAGAGAAAGATTTCGTTTTAATCATGTGAATTTGCTGAGCAAAAACCTGGCTTCGATTAATTTTAATTATTTCTACTCTTTTCCCTCGCGTCCTCTCAGACTTTTTCCCTTAATATAATTTCACTCTTCGCATTCTGTTGCAGATTTAACGGAGGAAAGATTTACACGTACATCGGCGAGGTCTGCGTGAGCGTGAACCCTTACAGAAACACCAATATCTACGATGTGGACCAGATTAATAAGTACAAAGGTACGATCGAGTTCGAAAGAACGGTATACCAATAATTTTCACTTCGAGGTGAATATTTGATTGACTGGAACAAAAAGAATTTTCTTGTAAAATTTATCCCGCGATCACATAATTTAATTTCTCCCCCGTGCATCGGGACAAACGAAAAATGTGCGCGTTTAATTATAAATTTCGTCGCTCTTATTTTCAAAATCATTTCCAGGGAGAGAACTGTTCGAGAACCCGCCGCACATCTTCGCGATCGCGGACGCGGTGCACAAGGAGATGAAGCAGCAGGGCAGGGACACTTGCATAGTCATAAGCGGCGAGTCGGGCTCCGGTAAAACGGAAGCCAGCAAAATCATAATGAAGTACATTGCCGCCGTGACCAATCTCAGCGGCCAGCAGGAGATCGAGAGGTGCGAGGCTGTCAGTTTAGAATGTATTGGCAATTAGCCTCCGCTATCTAATCTGCCTAGCGCGAATCCCTATGAATGATAAGATTAAATTCATCTTTTAGAAACGATCGTACGTTACTCAATCGCATGCAGCGCTTAACGTGAAATAGAGAAAGATTCCGCCGAGACGATGCCGATGTGACACCTTCGTTTCCCAACGCGGCTAAAAACGATTGCATTTTTTTTTCAGGGTGAAGAACATCCTCATCCAGTCCAACTCGATATTGGAGGCGTTCGGCAACGCCAAGACAAATAGGAACGACAACTCGTCGCGCTTCGGGAAGTACATGGACATCAATTTCGATTTCAAGGGAGACCCCATCGGCGGCCACGTGACCAATTACCTCCTCGAGAAGTCGCGGGTGGTCTATCAGCAGAAGGGAGAGCGCAACTTTCACTGCTTCTATCAGGTTCTGTTCGCTCGCGCTCGCTGATTTCGCACCCGAGACTCCCCGTCGCGCGCGCGCGCGATTGGAAACTAGGAATAAAAGACATCAACATCGTAGAAATAATGTTGAATTTTTCAGTTACTGAACGGCTGCAGCGAGGCCGAATTGAACAAGCTGCGCTTGGTCCGCGACCCGGCCGCTTACTACTTCATCGGTAGCGGAAGCAACAACAAGACCGCCACTTCCGACAGAAGCGACTACAAGACCGTTTGCACCGCAATGTCCATCCTCGGCTTCTCCACGACCGAGACGCAGACGATATGGAGTATCATCGCTGGTATCTTGCACTTGGTAGGCGATTGGCACGAAAGTCGAACGTTTTTCGCAATGCTGACGCTTCGTCCGGTCCAATTGCACGCTCGCTGCCACGTGATTGATCTCTTTGTCGCTTTTCAGGGTAACGTCACCTTCAGGCTGGACGATGACAAACTCATAATGGAGAATAAAAGCGCTTTAAATGACACCGCTAACTTGTTCTCCATCAACTCGAAAGACCTGAGCACCGCTCTCTCGCAGAGAGTCATAGCGGCGGGCGGAGAAGTCATGCAGAAGACTCACACCTTGATAGAAGCCGAGTACGGTCGAGATGCATTAGCGAAGGTACGTTGAAGTTAATTAATTTTCTCATAGAGTCTCCTGTGATCTAATCGACATGTATTGATAAAGATTTTTGTGAATCTTTCAGGCTATATACGAACGATTGTTCACATGGATAGTGTCGCGCGTCAATGGGTCGATCAACGTAAATAACAGCGACGACATGAAGAGATACGGTACGCTGATCGGCGTGCTCGATATCTACGGTTTCGAGATCTTCGACATGAACAGCTTCGAGCAGTTTTGCATCAATTATTGCAACGAAAAGCTGCAGCAGCTTTTCATCGGTGAGTATGAGATGCTTGGTATGCGCGGGGATAGCTCGGACGTGAGATTCACAATTGTAATTGCGAACTTTTGTCGCAGAATTGGTCCTGAAACAAGAGCAAGAGGAGTATCAGAGGGAAGGCATAGCTTGGCAAAACATCGAGTACTTTAACAATCAGATTATTTGCGACTTGGTCGAGCAAGCGCACAAGGGGATTATAGCAATCATGGATGAAGCTTGCCTCAACGTCGGGAAGGTCACCGACGAGGTAGTTGGGAGATCTAAAGTTTCGAGCGGAAGATTGTCTTGCGAGAAATACAAAACGCGCCCTTTTCCAGATGCTTCTCAACGCAATGGATAAGAAGTTGATGAATCATCATCACTACAGCTCTCGGCAATTAAAACCGATGGACAAAGAATTGGAGCACAGAACGCAGTTCAAGATCAAACACTATGCGGGCGATGTGATTTACAATATCAACGGCTTCCTCGACAAGAACAAAGACACACTTTTCCAGGACTTCAAACGTCTTCTCTATCAAAGCAAAAATTCTGTGCTTAGCAAAATGTGGCCCGAGGGTGCGCAGAATATTTTGAAGGTACGGAAATGATCGCTAGTGTGTGTTGAATATTATAACAGTGTTTTTAACACTAAATGTAGATAGATTTTATTGATCTGAGGAAGATTGTGTCTAAATAAATCTGCGTATTATTTCTTTTAGACGACAAAGAGGCCTTTAACCGCTGGCACGTTGTTCCGCAACTCTATGATTGCGCTGGTGAAGAACCTAGCGAGCAAGGAACCCTTTTATGTCAGATGCATAAAACCAAACGAGGTAAAGTCTCCAGTCGTGTTCGATGACGAGAGAGTAAATCATCAAGTGAGGTATTTGGGACTTGTGGAGAACATTTTGGTGAGACGAGCTGGTTTCGTGTACAGACAACAATACGACAGATTTCTGAAAAGGTATTGAATCTGTTAGAACGCAGTTAAGGATCAACACTTCAAATTGGACAATCATTGAATAAGAATAGAAGGAATTAATAAAAATCAAATAAAAGAGAAACAAAATGACGTCTAGAAAATATAAAGTAATGAGAATCATCTGGGACTGTACAATTTACGAATTATTTTTCCAGCTATTAAACAATTTATCAATGTTTTAAGTTTAAATTCTGGAATACGCAATAAATTTAATTTGTTGGTGTCAGGTACAAAATGATATCACAATACACATGGCCGAACTTTCGAGGCGACAGCCACAAGGAAGGCGTACGCACATTGATGGACGAGAAGGGTTTCTCGCACGACGTTAAGTACGGTCACACGAAGATCTTCATTCGTTCGCCGCAGACCCTATTTGCATTAGAAAAGGTCGGCCTGATTTAAATTTTATGCATCACAGGCGACCGTATTTTGCAGTCGCAGCGAATATTGATTAATTATTTCATTTGCAGATGCGCAGCGACTTAATACCGGGCGTCGTGATTCTCCTGCAAAAGCAATGGCGAGGCTACCTCTGCCGTCAGAAGTACAAGAAGATGCAGGCAGCGTTGGTGCTGATGAAGCACTACAGACGATACAAACGACGGGTCTACGTCAAGCAGCTCGAGCGTACGTTCAAGGGCGCCAGGAATATGCGAGATTACGGCAAGAGTTTGCAGTGGCCGCGCGAGAATTTCGCCGTGAGGCACGTGGTGCCCGCTTTGAGGAACATGTACGCGAGGTGGTGGGCGTGGATGGTGCTCCGAGCGATTCCGCGGGAGGACTGGCCGCAACTTCGGCTGAAGGCACGACAATTTTCGCCGCTTATTCTATCCTTACTACTTGACAGCTGATCAATTTTGCTAGCTGGAATGGATTATTGATAGCTCAATGCGATCCGCTAATTGTACAAATTATGCAATGAATTTGATTTGCAGATGGCCGCGGGCGCCGTGTTGCGTTCGAAGCGGTCTTACTGGGGCCAGGACCGTCGCTGGGAGGGAAACTATCTGTCCAGGCCGGACGAGAATCCTCTAAACAACGTTTTCAACTCGTCGATAAACAATCTGCGAAACAACGATCACTTCAAGACCGTCCTGTTCAGCGCGTTTATTAGGAAGACCAACAGGTTTCTCGTTTTGCCGATAATCTTGCCGATCTCGCAACAGACAGTATTGTAATCCGAGAAATAATGCGCAGGTTCAACAAGCCGGCGGATCGTGTTCTGGTGGTGACGGAGCACACTGTGTACAAGCTCGACAGCATCAAGTTCAAGAACTTGAGAAAAGGCATGCCGATAGCGGAAATCACCGGCCTAAGCGTTTCCCCTGGGAGAGACCAGCTTATTACGATTCATTCGAATCGCGGAAACGATTTCGTCCTATCGATCGTCGCCAAAGACGACAGGATCGGAGAGCTGGTTGGCGTGCTGAGCAACCGATACTATCAGTAAGTAGAAAATATTTTGAAGGCTCAATAATATCTGCACGGGAAGAATTTTCATTTAAAATTTATCCTAAAAATTATGTAATCGTGGGACAACACGGCATTTCGAACAATTTTATGAGTTTTTTGAAATTTTACCATACGTTTCACACACTGGTAATTATACTTACAATTAGTATACATTTTACTAGTAAAATGTATGGTAAGATTTCAAATAACTCTCCTAAAGTCCTTTAAAATGCCATGTCGTCCCACAATCATATAACTTTCAGGCTAAATTTTAAGAGAAAGTTCTCTCTGTGTAATATGCGAATGATACATTTCTAGATACATATTGTATGTAGAAATATATCATGTGTGCGTCAAAACGTTCGTGGTCTCCGAAAACTTTGATAACTGGTTCAAGCGAATTCCGGGGTGCACATTTTTCATTTACTCGTAATTTCATTTGAAAGAATCATTAATGTCTATTTTTTTTCTTGTATAGACTGCGTGGCGCCGACCTGCACGTCACAGTGGACGTGAGGTTCAAGTGCATGCTCGGCAACAAGAGCAAATTGTTAAACATCGAAGTGATGCCCGACGTGATCGAGCCCACGTTCAAGAAGGACGGTAATCAAATCGTCTATGCCATTCCATCGTCGATGGGCATCATCGACGGCGGTGCTAATACAAGACAATAGATTCGCATTGGTCAATTATAAAGTCCGACGAGACTTATTCGAGACTGTATCATAAAAAAAGTACATATTTTTTAATAATTTACTGTTATCAAACGTGCGGTTGTCCTACACTCAGCACGTGCGATTTAAAGAGACAATATGCAGTACTCGAAGTTCGCATTTGAAAGTTTTTCCTCGTTGAATCGATGCCTTTTACATATTTTTCAATTTGCAATATTAACCACGTTGTGACGAATGTCAATGCGACATTTTACTACGACGGAAGTTCGATCAATGTTTATATCTGTTGCGCAATCAAACGTTCAAATTAAATGTGATGTCCAAGTTCTCATTACATATATTATCATAGGCATATATTATATGTATATTATTGTAGACGTATTGCTGGAAATTCAAGCGCAGGTTTCTTTCCGTGATAAGAATGTTGACAAGAATGTTTATAATTATGTTTCAAAAACATTATTGGTTTTCCCCCAGCGACATTATAACTTCTAAAGTTATCTCTTTTGTGCTACGTTTCAACAATTTCAGCGATAAGTATTTTTAATTTCTTGAAGAGTAAACGCTGAGAAATTTGAAATCTCGTCAACTGTGGTGCCTGCATAATGGATACACTTATGTCAAGAGTATGTAAAAAAAGAAAAGATATCGCAGTACAAGTTAATTACGTGACACATGCGAGTCACTTGCGTAGCGTGAAGCACATGAGAAATTTGATAAACTCTCCGCACGCTGATATATTCCATCAAGTATAGCGCCCACGACGCATTTCTCTGTAAATACTCTATAATATATTATAAATATTATTAGCTTGTAATGTGCGGCGTGAGGGAGAGCGAGACGTGAAATCCACGAGAGTCGAGTTTTACCGGAGGATGTAACAGTGAATGCGTAATTTATAAGAGAATAACTTAAACGTTATTCATCGAGTTGTTCCTTTCTCAGAGGAAGACGCTACCGACGTGTTACGGTGATCATGCAGAATCATCCCTTTTCTCATCAACCGCAATGTGCCGTAAGCTTGTGGCCTTCTATTTACTACCAGATCGAAATACTTTTCAAAGATTTTTTACATAAATGTTTAAATACAAAAAGCACACAGTGTGACAGAACAAATAAATATATACATATACGAGTGCGAAAACAGCGCGACGAAACTCTAAATATACATGTTACCGTACACCAGTGTGCCTGCTAACTCGATTCAAAATATAACGAAAGTTAAACGCGTCCTTTTCCAAAGAAAGTTTTGGATCTTCCCGTGTACTTAGATTTAGAGAGACTGTATAGGAATATATGTATACATAAAGCTTAATCAAAAATATATATTATTTTGACGTTAATTCGACCGAGTGGAAACGAACTTGTTATGCATTGCCATAGAGTCCGGTACTTATGCATTTATGAAGCATTCATTAAAAACGACATAGTTCGCTTTTTGTAATCCATAGAACAAAGCGTTACTTTATTTTTCCATTGGCAAATGTAATCGAGCGCTTTAAAAACACGTTTAGAAATGTGCCATTGTTAGAAAATAAAGTGGAATTTTTATCTTATACTTCTTGTACGCTCCCTTATTCTTTTCTTATATTCGTGAAAACCGACCGCATTATTTGACACATTACCAATCCGTACAGTACCTATATAATATAAAAAGTGTTTGTATCAGTTTTTTATTGTTGAAAAGCAACATCTTTATACAAAACAGCAGTTATACTAGTCGACCCGTTGATACATGTAGATGTATCCTAGTTCTTTCGGCGGGTTTTCCGATAAAGCGACCTGCAATAAAAAATTCGTGTAAGAAGAGAAACACCAAAGTTTCCGGAGATGACGATCCCGTAAGACCTAAGGATCGTCTAGGAATAACTGCCGTACTTTTTCGTCATTAAATATCACCCATCGGTCTTCCTTCAGCAAGTGGCAAACGTAATGGCCTACCATCGTCGATGTGCCCATATGCGATATAAAGCCCACTAATTTGTATCCTAAAAACGCAGAGAAGCTTAAGCGATTCCCCTCTACAAGAGCCACAAGCTTTATAGATCTCAATAATAATTCATTAATGCGCCAATCCTAATTTCTTCTCATCTCATTTGTCCGTTTTGGTGTATCGCGTTCATATTGTTTGTAAGAGATCGTGTACTTTCTCTCGAATTATTGATGGTACGACAATTCGCGGGCTGAAAAATACGCGATCTTGTGACTTACGACTGTTTCCGTCTCTGAACGACTCCTTCGACGGCACCACGTTACCGTCCGTTTCCGGGGCGTCGAGCTCGGCTTGGTGACTGAAAATCCAATCGGCCGCGCGCTCCAGATTGTTGTTAGTCGCCTTTAACGCCTTCGTCGCTTGCTCCCGCGTAAAGCCCATGCTCGTTACCATCTCCAGAGCGGCTTGATCTGGCACAAACTTGTCTTCGCCTGAAATCAATAGTCAGATAAACGAAGATCCGATCAGTCGGCCACGATTTCGATGCTGTAGCGTGTCGATCTACCATGCCTAACGTCGACTCCTGGCGGCACGAACGGCTCGTCAAAGTCGGAATCCGCGATGTGCTCCATCACCCAATTGGTCGCGGCCTCGAGGCTGCGGTTCTCCGTGAAGTATAGGGCTCGTTTACACGCGTTCGGCGAGAAGCCTATGTCCGTCAGTTCCCTCAGGAGAACCGTGTCGTAGACGGGCGGCGGCGGTACCGCGCCGTCCGGCAACAGTTCCTCGCCGGACTGCAGACCGTTTCCGCGCAGGAAGCTCAGGTCCACCGTGTCCGGCATCTCCACCGCCACGTCCAGCTTGATGGGCGTCCAGTCCTCCTTCACGGTGAACTTCTTCAGGTGGATTAGCAAGTAATCTGGGAAGCTGGCCAATCTGGTGGTCCTAAGAGAAATAATCAAATAAAAAGAATTTGCTGCAAAACATTAGATCTGCTCGACTTTTCACGATTGTGCTGATAAAATCATACACTCGGATATGCAGCAGATTACAATATTTTTAATTACTGAACGTAATCAACAACTAATGCGTAAAGGCCTGTGTCCGCAATGCTAAAGAATTTGGATCAATTTTTACCGATGAGTATAGTTATATTTACTTGTGTGCTATCGTCTTCTCGTTCAACGCCGAGCTGTAGAACTGTTCCACAATTTCCATGCGGCTGAAACTTTCGAGGCACGACGACAACTTGATACGAGGTCTCACGAGGGTGCTGGAATCCAGTTTCTGCCCCTTCGCCTCGGCTTCCCTTTTCTGAGCCTCGTATGCAGCTACCTCGTCCTTGACATGTCGTTTGATTAGTTTTGGCGAGATGAAACGTCATTTTTCAAAAAGAAAAAAAAAGAACCAAACGCGTTTTGAACGCACGCACCTTGTTCACCGCAGCGTCCAACGGTATCGGCAGCGGCAGGATGTACTCCGGCCGACTGGTGTACTTGACCTTGTTGGACATGCCACACTGGTATCTCTCCTCGACTTTGAATTTGAAACACTCCGTCGGGCACACCTCGTTTCGATTGTTGCGCTATTGAATCACAATTTCGCAATTAAAATCTTTAGCGTAGCTCAACAATAGATCTGGCAGCGCACGAACAACTCAATTGCCACCGGAAGCAAAATGAATAATTACACTGAGCAGATTAATCAGATAAAGGAGGAACTCTTGGGCGTCTTGTTGCCGATTCGAGAAGAAACCAGGGTGCCCGCGCCCGATCAGGACCTTAAACATCCGCGGCGGAATACCCTGCCGCGACTCGTCGTCCGTACTGGATTTGCTCGGTTTATCCGAGTATTTGCCAGAGAGTAAACCGATGCCCAATTTCGCCCTGAAAAAAATTGAGACTTGTCAAATTGTACCTCGGAGTTTTCAGACGGTCGCCAAATCGCCGCAACTCACATTTGAACGTTAATGTCCGACGCCGGGTCGTTGTAATTATCGGCGAATATTCTCGGTGCTTTCTCCACATATCTGAAATTTACCGGCAATTACTCGACGTCGATCCTACAATGTTTCTTTTATCAAAGAGGACTCTACCAGTCCTACGTGCGGTCGAGGCGAAAGTCATTCGCGGAAACGCACCTCTTAACAAAATCGGGAATAATAAACAGCATTTGCATGACGCTGTTCAGGTAACAGGAATTCCCGAGATTGGTCAGCCCGGTGTAGCCGGAGCCGTACAACGGGGTCAGTTTGCTGGCCGCTTCCTGAAGGGAGACCCACTCGCCGAACTTTTGATTCAGATCCAGTTCCAGTTCGATCATCGACTTGTCCGTCTTCTCCATCTGCGCGATGTTGATGCCCCAGTGCGACAGATGCGCCGTCAGATTCGGGTCGTCCACCATGTCGTCCTCGTCGTACGAGAACACGTCGGCCTTGCCACCCTTCGTGATCGTGCCCAGTTTCACGGCCAGGGGATAACCGGTCACGCGGTAGTGCTCCTCGGCGTGGCCGTTGCCGCCACTCCCGTCGTAGAACTTGCGACCGCAGAGCACGCTGCCGTCGGTCAGATTGAGCCAGAGATTCTGCGTGAGGTCGCACTTCTCGCACTTCCAGCCGCTCGGTGGGATCCTCTTGCCGTTGTCCAGTTGCTTCAGAGTCGCGGCGTGTCTAAAAAATCCCCCGCAAACTTTACAAACTTGCCTGAGACAAAGATTTCCATTCGGAGAGCCAGACGTTGCTCCAGCGATTGAAAGGAAAGTTCGAAGGAAAGTTGAATTCTTATAGACTCCGACTGATAATTTGAAGGCGATGTAAAATCACGTTTGTGATTATAAGCAATACTCTGATATTTGATTTAATACATTCGCGCGATTTAGTTAAGACCGAGCCAATTGACAAATTCCACGATAATTCTTTTGAGAGAAACTCACTTCGACTCCGCCCTGACTTCTCCGTCCCACATGCTGGCCACAGCTTCCACCTGCGCCACCGCCCATGCGCCTTCCATTTGTAACACAGTCTTGACCGCCTGTTCCACCTGCAGACAGTATTGTGCATTTTAAACGTTTTGTTATCAATTTTATATCGCGGGGAGAATTTTTTCTGAAAATTTATCCTGAAAATCATCGGACAACGCGGCGTTTCGAAGAATTTTACGAGTTTTTTGAAATTTTGCCATACATTCTGCTAGTAATTACACTTAATATACATTTGACTAGTAGAATGTATGGTGAAATTTCAAAAAACTCTCGTGCAGTTCTTCGAAATGCTACGTTGTCCGAGATTACATGATTTTCCAGGTAAATTTTAAGAGAAACATGAGCGATACTTTCCTCGCCAGTGACTAAATGACAGAACAATTAATATTATTCGACCATAACTGCGCGGAAATTTTAAGAGAAAATTCTCTCCGCGCGCAATCTCGCAGATGAATTCTACCTTTTCAGGCAGATCGCTCCCTGGATAAGCGATAGTGAGGAAATCAGGTAGAATGACTATCTGGTAGGTCTCGTCGTAGATGTACTTCTGCTGGTCGGGCATGAATCCACCGACCGTCCCGATCGCCAGCCGCGTGATTTTCTTTTCAGGCCCATCTCCCTGCTCCTCAGACGGAATCTACAAACAATTTTGCCACATGATTTCCGAATTTAAATGCGGAAGCAATCGTATATCTCTCTTGTCGATGCGACCTATCAATTATTCTTACCAACAAAGACCAGAGCATATTCTGTAAATGATAACATCATTACGTGCTTTGCACAGATATAATATGCCACAGAAAAACTATGCAAAGCACGTAATTTTATCATTAACGTTTACAGAATAGGCCTCTAAGTCTCGTTCGCATACAAATGTAATTACACATTACATTAATGTATTGACAACAATTAATTAACAGCTGAGCACTTGACAGAAGCTCTAGATGGAATATTTTATTTATTAATGTAGAAAAATTGCTAAACGACGCTAACTGGCAAATTCTAATTAAAGAAATTTATTGCGAAAAATATTACCTCGGCCAGGGTATAAATTTCTTTAATTAGAATTTGCCAGTTAGCGTCGTTTAGCAATTTTTCTACATTGGTTAATCATGTACTGGCGTCAAGTAATTCTTTACAAGTTCTATTTCTTTTAACCCATAGACTTATATAGATAGACTGCGCGTCCTTATGCGCGCGCTGAAGATCATAGTATAACTGGTAGGTCCACTCAGTTATTTGTTTCGTTTTGCGTCGATCCCTTCTGCACACCCGACATTGTTCTGGGCAGACCGACGAGACAAAAGTTGTATGTGCGGTAGTGTGGCTTTGATGAATATACACACACACACATGGCTGGATCCTGCCCGAGTGCATGGTGGAATACCACGTGATCGAGACCACAAGGATCAAAGGGGCCGGCAGGGAGTGGACCTACTAGTTATGCAGGGTGTCTCATTTTAAATGATCCACGCGAATATCTCCAAAAATATGAAAGATACGGAAAAACGTTGCAAACGAAAGTTGTTTGGTTCGAAGGGGGACATAAGGTGGTGCTATTGACTTGACCTTGGACAGTCATTTGAAAGTCACGTGAAGTTCATCTTTAATTTTTTTAACGGAACCTCCTATTGTTTATTACACTATTTTATTCTACTAATTAATATGAACAACTTTTGTCCGAAACATTTCTTGATTTGCCTAATACTTCTTCAGATATTCAAGAGAAGATTTGTAACTTTTTCAATGTTTAGCTTATGATATCTCGACAACTATTTGTTAGGGGAAAAAGTAGTA